GCTTTTATGCGCGATTCTTCCGCGGACAAGCTGTCCTCCCGTGCTGTTCCCTGCGTCTTCCTTGGCTTCCCCCCTGACGCGCCTGGTTGGCAGTTTTACCACCCCACCTCGCGTCGTGTTCTGTCCTCTCAGGACGTCACTTTTGACGAGTCGTTTCCTTACTACCGTCTCTTCCCCTACCGCAATGCCCCTCTCCCCCCCCCCCGTCCCCGCCGCTCTTCCTAGCACCAGGTCCTCCTCTGGTAGACCCTCTTCCCCCTCAAGGTCCTGCCCCCTCAGGTGTGTCCCAGATAGACCCTGTCAAGCCTGTCGAGGTAGCTGTCAAGTCTGGTGCTGCTAGAGGTGTGGAGCCTACGGGTGCGGGGCCTAAGGGTGTTGAGCCTGGGGTTGCTGAGTCTACGGGTGCGGAGCCTGGGGGTGCTGAGCCTTAAGTTGCTAAGTCTGAGGGTGCGGAGCCTGGGGGTGCTGAGCCTGAGCGTGCGGAGCCTGGGGGTGCTGAGCCTGAGCGTGCTGCGCCTGGAGGTACTTTGTCCTCTGGAAGTCCTTCGGGTGTCTTGTCACGGCGGGAGCCACTCTCTCCATCGCAGCTGCGCGAGTGGTTTGCTCGGCGCTGGAGCCGTGCTACTGGACCTAGGGGGCCTACCGCTGGAGGTGCTGCTGGCGCTGGAGGCACTGCTGGTGCCATTGCTGCTGAAGGTGCTGGAGGCGCTGGTCCCGGAGGTGCTCGTACTGGAGATACTAGAGCTGCTGGGGCTGGTGGTGCTACTGCTGTTGGAGGTTCTGGAGGTGCTGGAGCTGCTGGTTCTGGGGGTGCTCGTCCTTCGTATACTAGAGCTGCCGGGGAGGTACTGGAGACGCTGGAGGTCCTGGAGCTACTGAAGGAGCTGGTGTTACTGGAGCTGCTAGTGCGGCTGGAGCTTCTCGAGGTGCTGATGGAGCTGGAGCTGCTGTAGCTACTGGTGCTGCTGGAGCTGCTGGAGGTGCAGCAGGAGCTGGAGCTGGAGGTGCTACTGGTGCAGGAGCTACTGGAGGTGCTGCTGGAGCTGGAGCTACTGGAGGTGCTACTAGAGCTGGAGCTGCTAGAGGTGCTACTTGAGCTTGAGCTGCTGGAGGTTCTGGTGCTGTCGGTGTTGGTTCTGGAGGCGCTGCGCGACCGCGGCCGTACTTCGTTCCCCTCCTTCAGCAAGTTCTTGGTCTCCCAACTTCTACTGGTCCTACTCCTCCCTTACTGTGTCCACCGCTTGACCAGTCGCAGTCGCAGTTACAGCCCGCCTCCCCACTGCCTGCTCCTTCTCCTTTCACTGGGCCGACTAGAGGTCTTGCGGAGCGTCGTGAGCCTGAGTCTCGTCATGCGTCACCAGTTCGTGCTGCTCGCACTGGTCGTCGTGTTCCGCGTCAGCGTCCTCCTCCTGTCCCCGGCACGCACCAGATGGCACTTCGTCCTTCCTCTGTTCCACATCGTGTCCCTCTGCCGTCTCCTCCTGCGTCCTCCCTTGCTGACGGTCCGGACCCCGAGTCTGACTCTCTTCGTGCTGCTAGTCCTACTGTCACGCGTCTCCTGGCCACTGTTGTCACTGACCCTTCCTTTGAGTCTACTACTGCGTCTGCTCTTGTTGCTGAGCTGGTTGACTTTGCTGCCGCCTGTCGTCTAGACTACGCCGCTAGCCTTGTTGCTGAGTCTGAGTCTGTCTGTCCTCCGTCCGTCGAGTGTGAGTGTGCTCTTGGCACGGACGTCTTTGAGGACAGCCAGGAGGACTTTGAGTGCTTTGCAGCTGCTGTACCTGAGCTCGTGTCCATGCTGATTGCACCTGAGGGAGACCCGGATGCTCCAGACATCCCGACCCCGCGCTCTTACGCAGAGGCGATGGAGGGTCCCTACTCCTCTTAGTGGCAGTCAGCCAAGGATGCAGAGATGGCATCCTGGAAGTCCACAGGCACTTACGTCGACAAGGTTCCCCCACCTGGGGCGAACATCGTCAGTGGCATGTGGATTTTCAGGGTGAAGTGGCCGCCGGGTTCTCCGCCTGTCTTCAAGGCGCGTTACGTTGCACGAGGCTTCAGTCAGCGGCAGGGAGTCGACTTCTTCCAGACCTTCTTCCCTACACCGAAGATGACCACTCTTCAGGTAATGCTGCACGTCGCCGCTCAGCGTGACTACGAGCTTCACTCTCTTGACTTCAACACTGCTTTCCTACAGGGCAGCCTGCACGAGGAGATCTGGCTGCGCCGCCCACCTGGCTTCACTGGGTCGTTTCCTCCTGGTACCCAGTGGAGCCTCCGGCGGCCAGTCTGGTTCCACCAGGCGCCTCGCAAGTGGCACGACACACTGGGGACGAGCGGAGTCGCGTTCCGCCGTGAGTGTCGCAATTTCGAGCGCCGAGTCTTCGATTTGGCGCACGAGACGGTCGAGTTGCTCCTGTGTAAGTGTCGCGAGAGTGAATTCGGCCATGGCGGGGTTGTCGGGCAAGCTCAGCGAGAGCCTCTGTCGTGGCCGTACGTGCTTACGAGAGAGCACTACTAGCGGCGGTGCTTGTTTCGCTGAGAGACGTCCAACCCACCCAAAAAATGAGAGAGTGGGGAAGCGAAGGTGTGGGTGCGGTCTGAAAAGAGATGGTAGGATCTGATTACCAAGTGTTACGAGTGCAATTTGAGTGAGCGAGCGAGAATTGCACTATCGAAGCAAGAGTACAATGAGCGAAGAATATATAGCGAAAGTACAGTGGTAACGGTAATGTGTGGAAAATGGGGTGCGCGACGGGCCTAGCGCCGAGGTTGGGAAATGTCGAGGCGGAGGTCCAAGGCGCGGTTTACCAACCGAACCGTGAGGTTGGGTCGCGTCGTGAACAGTGGCGGGAATAGTGTCGAGGCGAGTGTCGCAAGTGGTAACGGATTACTGTTGGGTGCTGTTGGCGGGAATAGTGGTGTACGCGCTCAGCAGGGACGGGAAGTATGGAAAAAAGAAATTTCCTTGCGCGTGAAATTGGCGAAGCCCCGTTACAACGGCTGCTGCTCTACGCGATGTTGATGGTAGGAATGTCGAGAAAATTCCCTAGGACGCGGTGAAAGTAGACGATCGATCGTCAGTCGCGATCGATGTGCGGATCGGTTACCCTATTAACAACTCTATAACCATGCTACAGAACGCTTTCTGGCCAAAATTTCCCTACAGTGTGAGAATGCGACTGATCACTGTTCGCGGGAAATCTGTCAATTTTCAGCCGCGATCGTTACAACGTCGCGGTCGCCACGTCTCGCCAAACGATTTGCCCACTCGATTGTGGGGATCGATATGTGCAGACGATCCTGCGATATTTGCACTTTTAACGCGTCCTTACAGCGGGCCATGCTTCATTTTCCCCAGTGATTCACATTCTGCCGAGATCTAGTCCGAGCCCCATCTTCATAGTTGCCTTAGGAACAGTCCGAGCTTGAGCTTCACATAGCAACGGTTGATAGTGCTTGTTGGAAAGATCGCGATGGCACGGCACCAGCACCAGCAGCAGCAGCGGCCGCCGCCTCCGCGGCACCAGGTATCTGGGAAGACGCACTCACCAGGCGCGGTGTGGGTGCGCTTCGCGGTGACGTCAGTGGCCATGTGGGTGCTGCCCCTCGCCGTGCTCTTCTCCGTCAAGCAAGACCTCTCCTTCCTCCAGCGTAAGCCCTCCACTCCTTCGCCGCTTCGCCTCTCTCTCGCGCGCCTTTCACAGCGGCGGCCAGGCGTATCAACCACCCTATTGACGGCCTCCCTTAATACAGCACTCCGTCCCCTCGCCCTCCATACATGCAATTCCGTGATCTCTGCTTTTCGACTTCCTCACCTCACGCCCCATCCTCCAATTCCCCACCCTCCCACGCCCCCCGCAGGCTATTTCCCCTCGTCCCTCTGGGCCGTCCTCGCGCGTTCCGACCCGTCGGCGCCGCCGGTGGACGCGACGTTATGGGCGGGACTGGCAGCGGTGCTTAGCGTGAACGCCGTGATCGCCGTCTACATCATCCTCGCGCTGCGCGACTCCCCTGTCGCCGACCAGCCCCACCCCGACCCCGCCTTTGTCGCCGCTGCTGCACGGCGCCAGCAGGAAATTGCGGGGTCGGGGGGCGAAGGGGGGCAGGGAGATGGAGGGGACCGTAGGAGTGGTGGAAAGGGGGTTGGTGGTGGCAAGAGTGGTGCCGGGCTGCGGAAGAGGCGGGAGGATATGACAGCAGGGGAAGCAGAGGCAGAGGCAATGGCAGCAGCGGCTAGGGCTAGTGGGACAGGTCAGCGAAGGGCAGTGGAGAGGAAGGGTAAGAAGCACAGCTGATTTGATCTGGGAGATGATGGTGGGAATGGGGTAGCACCTTGTGTGGTTGATCGCTTGGCACATTTGGGTGCTGTCATAGGTCTTCAATGTGGATGTGATGCATGCATCCCATTGAGCTGGGTACGGTAGCGATCTTTCTGCATGTGAAAGTCCTTGCAACCAGTCCTCTTGGATTAGACTGACGCGTGCATTCCTTGTAAGGCTAGGGGCGTGGATCGGAATGGGGATAAAATGTGGACATTGATTGAGGGGGAGGTGGCAGGATGAAGGGAGGTGGGGGGGAGGAGGTGGACTGTGGTTCTGTATTTTTTTCTGCTCAATTTCTGAGACTGCCATCTCACGTGTTGGGCTAAGATGAAGCTCACGACAGGACTTGCAGTGAAGCTACGTGTGCAACAGCTGACAGGGAGTTACCGCACACACTGTTAGCTACTTTGCTGCTACTCCGTTATTTTACCGGTACTCTCCAGAAACAGCTACCCGAACCGGTATATGCGTATATACAAAGCAGCTACAGCGTTGTTGACTTACTAAAACGCACAAACCGTAATATTCCAGCACTCCATACAACACCTGTCCCCGCCACCCAATCCCCCCTCCAACCAACCATGCCTCTCTGGCCCTGTACAACCCAAAGCCTCCTACATGAGCGTGCTGCCACATGCACAAAGACCCCCTCTATGCCTCTCAAACCAAGCCCTCTCACTGCCCGACCCCTGTGCGCTTGTGCCAGTCCGCCAAGCTCTCCTCCGGGTACCCCTGAAAGCTCTTGTCCGTGGGCCCCACACTCGCCTTCACCCACGCGGGCTTGAAGTTGAGCAGTAAGTGCGTGCGCTCGGGAGGGGTGGGCAGGGGAGAGTCAATGGCAGAGGCGTACGGGTGAATGAGGTCGGGCCACCTGGGGTCATACAGCCACAGGTGCGACCCACACTCGCGACAGAACCGGCGCTCCGCCACGCTCTCAGTCACCTGGGAAGGAGGAACCAGAGAGCAGGGGAAAGGCGTAGAAGCAACAGAGAAGAAGCAAAATCGTTTCCGCCAGTCAGCTTCCTAGCCTTTCCTTTGTTTAACCCACCTGCACCACGCTTCGACAACGCAATCACATTTGTCCCCACCCCATCCCACACAACCATCATATCCCTCTCCCACACAACCATCACATCCCTCTCCCACAACCATCACATCCCTCTCCCACAACCATCACATCCCTCTCCCACGCAACCATCCCATCCGCCCATCCCATGCAGCCTCACCTCGCCCGTGTCCGCCCTCATCTTGGCGTGGTACGTGGCTAGGTGCTCCTCCCCCTGCACCTGCATCGACCCCGCATCACCACCTATGTTGATGCCAAACCCGCCCGACCCGCCCACCTTGCGGCAGATGCTGCAGTAGCATAGCTGGCGGGGAAGGGGGAAGAAGAAGGGAGCGGGTGGTGGTGTGGGGAGGAGGGAGGGAGGTCAAGCGGGGAGAAGGTGAGGGGGAGATTGGGAAAGAGAGGGGGGGGGGGGGGGGGGGGGGGGGGGGGGGGGAAGGGGGGGGAAGGGGGGTAAGGGGGGGTGCGAGGAAAGCGAAAGGAAGGTTGGGGAAAATGGAGGGGAGGGGAGGAGGGATGGCGATGGTGAGCAAAAGTGTGAACATCTCCGAATACTCGTGTTAGGCAAAATCGGTAAGTGCGAGCTAAAATCAGCTCCCGCATTGCTCAGGTATTTCATAAAACGACGGCAGAAGTACGCCATAAGTCTAAATGGGACGAAGAGAGCAACAATCTTGAACGTACTAAACAGGAAACGAGGCGTAAGAAGTGCTCGTAGGCAGCACCTGATATGGGCATGGACTGTTTGACTCCAAAGAGAACGTCACGGCGCGGCAATGGCAAGAACCTTCTAGACGCATGGTGCGATGCGAGGAAGCGGGATGAAGACGACTGAATGATACTTGCAGTGTAAGTTATGAGCGCAAATGAAACATGATATGAGCGATGGCACGACTCAACGAGCCTGACGTTCGCTCCTGTGATGTGCAACATTGAGTGAACACGGTCTTGCCGAAAACCTCGCGAAAACACATGGAGGGATACTCATGGCGAATTCCTACGCAGTTTTGTAGGGACACCTAGGGGTTGCAGTTCTGATTTCGTTTGAAGGTCTAATTATAAAGGAACCTCTTAAAACCGGAGTCCCAAACAGCCCCGAAGTGCCTCAACCTTCCTAACTTTGAGAAGGGGTGACCCAGTAGGTACGAGTCACTTCGCGAATCGGGGGGACAATTTTCGTCACGCGAAACTACTCTTCTAGCGAGGACGAAAGCACTGACGATTTCGCCAACAAATTTGAAGCCCGTCCGAAACTGTCTGCGAACCAGTTCTGATGTTGCATTCCAGATCTGGTTATTTTCGCGAAATTTTCTTCCTTTGCGACCCCAGACCACCAATTTCGATACCACCCTGGCTCGCAAGCCAGTCACCTTTCTCTCCCCTTTCAACCTTCCTAACTTAGAAACTCTTGGACCTCCGGTTTTAAATCTGACAGGATTTAGAACCTCGAACCCAACCCTGCGTAGAGGCAAGCCAGTCTCGATATGTTTGGTCAGCTGTGCTTAAACAACTCACATATGTGGCGTGGAGTGTACTAAGATCTTAGAGATTTTCGTGTGTATTTCTCAGCAGTGCAATTTTCGTAGCATTGTTCTCTGGGTCAAGTTACTTCGGGGGAGTAGGCGTACAGAAAAAAAAAAAAAAAAAAAAAAAAATCAACATGTCCAGAGTTTGGATGGTGTCCGTGCCTAGGAATTTGCTCTCAATGGAACGTGTGCACACGAGGTAGACGCGTTCGTACATCTCAGGATTCGATAAGAATGACACCCAAAGCTTGTTTAAGACATGATACAAAAGAAAATCGCCACACATTGTCATGATACCATACCCCAAAAATCGCTACCTGCTTGTCGCCATGATTCTTGCGTTACTTAACAAGCCTCATGCCATGTTCGGTTGGCGCATCAGCTGATGCGCCAACAGGCTCGTGGATGGTGCGTCCATACATGGCGGGAGGTTAGGGTTTTTTTCTGACATGCCAAAATGTATTGGGCTTCACTGAAGTCATACAGCTCATGCAGCCAATATGTAGTGGGTTTCATGGAAGTCATTCAGCGCGAAAAGTTTAAAGGTGCTAACAAATGAGGGTGCCAAGCATCACTGGCCAATGAGGGTGCTCCGCCTCAGCTGATGCGCGCATGATGCAACGTTGAGACGTCGCCCCAGGCGCGCATCAGTGGTGCGCCGGATTGCTTGGAGATGAAGGTGTTAACGGGAGTGGAGTGTTGGCAACGCCCTCGCTTGGGCAACGCCGATGACTTGGTCGGATGTACGGGAGTAGCAACCGACCGTTCACAGTGGGAGAGCTGCTTGACATGCTCCGTCGAGCTGCAGAGGACCACTGTGGCGTTGCTGTCGACCAGGTAGCTCGACAGCTGCAACTGACTGGTCTGGGCGACGGGTGGGTCATCGACCAGGCGGTGCAATTCGACGGGGAGGTCGACGGAGCAGTCCATCGACCTGCAGTTCGACCGAAAGGTCGACGGAGCAGTCCGACGACCTACAGTTCGGCCTGGAGGTCGACGGAGCATTCTAACGACCTGCAATTTGACTGGGAGGTCAACAGAGCAGTCCGTTGACTTGACAAGCGAGCAGCGGTCGACGAAAGGAGCTGGGCAAGAACAGATGACAGTTCTGGTCGACGGAAGGGGTCCGACGACCAGGGGGTAGCTCGGCGGGAGCTGTGGTCGACCAGGGGCACCTGATGGTCGACCAAAGGGACCTTGTGGTCGACCAGAGGGACCCGATAGTCGACCTAAGACACTTGGTGGTCGACCAGAGCACCTGGGGGTGTCCAGGTCGACCGGGTAACCTGCCCGACGAGTTCCGCGGAGGCATGTGAACGCCGTCGAGGTTGCGATGGCGAAGGCGACTTCGGGCTGGTATCCCGAAGTCGATGTGGCTCGTCAGGCGCAGACAACAGCCGACGGATGCACAACGATGCAAGGCGGGCCAATCGTCTGCGCGCACATGCGAGCGTGTGCACTGCTGTCTTCTACGGGGCAACGCTGGACAGCCGCTCTACTGCAGCGTTGGCACGCCGTCAACCTACAGTGTTGGCAGGTCGCCTTTCTGCAGTGTTGGCGTGGCTCCTCTACGCAGCGCTGGCAGGCGGTCGACCAAGCTGTGCTGGCGGTCAACCACGCTAGATGCAGAGTTGCTAGGTTCCTGATGTAGTCATTGTTTTCATTGCTTGTTCAATCATTTTGTAATTTCGACTTTGCTAGTGGAAACTCTTGCCAATTTCTCCCATGTATGCGCTAGCACTAAGGAACTAAGCAAAGCTACGATCACTCCTAGTAGTTCGTGCCGACCCTGTAGTCCAGCTCAGTACCGTTGTAGAGTGACTCTCCGCATGGCGCGGTGAGCGTGGACGGCCCCGCAAATTACCTTCAAATAGGAGCCGAGTTTTGCACCTACTAAGTCGTTCGTAGGCCGGCAACAGCGTTAGTCACCATGGTCGACCCCATAGCGGATGCGGGAGTAGCGGATGCCTTGGAGGCACGCTTGGCTGATGCGAGGAAATGCCATGCGGATGGAGAGTACAGGACGATCCCCTTGATGATCGTCGAGTTGGGCATCCGGTAGCAGTGGGCGACGGAACACCCTTCCCGTCCTGCATCTCCTCAGCCGGTGCGAAACGAAGGTGGCGTCGACGACGAGGTCGACGTCGGTGCACGAGTCAGCGGCAACGAAGGCACGAAGCAGAGAGGGGTGATCAAGGTCGACGGTGGCGTCGACAGGATTCAGGCACGAGTACAGCGGTCGACGGCGGCTGCAGGTAGCTCGCGTGATGACATCGATGGTCGACGTTGATCTCCTCTACGAAGCGGTGGAGGGCTCTCAGCGACAACGCACGTGACGGCGGGCGGGATTGCACCGGCGTATGGCTACTTCAAGTTCTCGTCAAACCGGATCACCGTCGCACCGCTGCAAGGTCGATGAGATCTCATTACCTGGATGGAGTCGATAAAACCTTAGCTGGAGGTCGCCGAGATGAAGGGCTTCGTCGACGGCACCGTTCCAACTCCGCTCGTGGAAGATGTCGAGCTGCGCAGGGAGTTTCGTGCGGCTCACTTGCTCACCTTCATGGTCATCTCGAGGTGCTATTTGCCGGTGGTGCAGCTAGCGCTCAGGAGCTGTCGAGAGTGACTGGATGCTGGTCAAAAGCATGGCACTTCATCTTGTCGACGTACAGGTAAAGGACGACCTGTATATCGGACAGCTAGAGGAGAAGATGACCCACATTCGAATGGGCGCGAAGGAGTCGACGACGAACTACTGCAACCGTGCTCGACGGATTCTGGCTGAGATGCGGATGGCGGGCGCTGAATACTCGACGGCATCCTACATCACCCACGTCCTCAAGGGCCTGCCGCGAAGCTACAACCTCATGAAAAGGATGACGATGGTGCCCGGCACACGGGAGTCGCTCGACGAGGACTCCCTCACCAGCTACATTCTCCAAGATGAGGCAATGCAGGAGGCAGAGCAGCCCACGGAGCTCTTTCCGCTGGCGAGTTACGCTGCACCGACGAAGCTGAATCTTCAGCAGGAGCAGCGCGGGAAGCCGGACGGAGGTGGTAGCGGAGGTGGGCAGTCGACGAAGGACGTCGACGAGAAGAGGTCGATGCGGGACAAGGGTGGACGAGGTGGTGGAAGCGCAGCGCTGTAGCGGGTGTGACTAGTGCGGAGGTGAGTAATGAGGTCAGCGACTGTGGCAAAGGCGGCCAGGTCAGGGAACAAGTACGGCAGCATGCGGCGGCTAAGGGCAGCAGTGGCAGGGGAGGAGTAGCATGCGACGACAACATCATACAAAGACTTAGCAGTCTTGTACTGGCCAAAGTGCCCGCGCTCAGCAGACGGCAGGTGACTACGAACAGCAAGGCGAGCAACAGCGTCACGAGTAGTCCATTGCGAGCGAACCGTACTGTCAGCATCGGCAGCAGGTGCAAGAGAGGCGCCGGACGTGTGATCGAAAAGTGAGAATCCGTCCCTAGAGTCGCACTGAAGATTGCAGGTCATCTACTCAAAGTTCAAAATCGACCGCACGACCCTGAGCATCGAAGGTAAGAACAGTAGGACTAGCCATGGCGGCAGTAGCAGTAGGGTAGGGCGGTGCGGCTCGGTAGAGCGGCGTGGCTCGGCAGGGCGGCGCGGCTCGGCAGGGCGGCGCGGCTCGGCAGGGCGGCGCGGCTCGGCAGGGCGGCACGGCTCGGCACGCAGGCGGGCGCAGCGGCGCGCTTGGCACGGCGTGCGCTTACCAGTGGCGGGTGCAGGGCAGGGCCGCGACTGGCGGTTAGGGCAGGGCCGCGACGAGGCGGCAGAGCAGGGCCGCGACGGGGCGGCAGCAGGGCAGGGCCGCGACGAGGCGGCGGTAGGGTAGGGCCGCGACGGGGCGGCAGCAGGGCAGGGCCGCGACAAGGCGGCTGCATGGCAGGGCCGCGACGGAGGGGCGGTAGAGCAGGGCCGAGACGAGCGGGTGAGGGCAGGGCTGCGACGGGTGGCGACAAGGCAGGGCCGCGACGGGCGGCTAGGTCAGGGCTGCGACGGGCCGTTAGGGCAGGGCCGCGACGGGTTGGGAGGGCAGGGCCGCTAGTGGTGGCAGTAGGGCAGGGCGCGCGACGGCGCAGGTGAGGCAGGCGCAAGGCGCGCTTTGGGCAGGGCAGGAAAAGCTATTGTGGTGGGCCCTAAAAAATACGTTCGCACTTGGGAACCTGCTCTGAAACCATGTCAAAAAGTACGAATCAAGAATGACTAGAATGACAGCAGTACAGGGTTTGTATATGCAAAACCTAAT